AGGCTGTTTCATTGGTCATGCCGCCATTGATTTGGTAATGTTCTTTGCATATCCAACAAAGAGGGGAAAGATAATAACAGGTAAAAAAGGAAGAAAAGCTTGTCATTGCAAGAAGAAAACAGAATCACTCTTATTTTCTTAACAAAAACGAAAAGAGAAAATCTGTATGTAAGCCTATCTTTAAGCCAACAAAGGACGAGGAAGGCTGGAAATGGTTCCTCCACCACGGCTAAACAAGCGTCTCCAAGTTTTCAATTGATCAATAGCCTGCTTGTAAACACCAGCTCTTGCTGCAGAAACAGTAACCAACGCACACTTCTTCAACCGTCTCCCGATCTTCACCTTCAGTCTACACAATCTGATTCGTAGAATCGATGGTTTTCTTCTGGAATCAGCTTGCTCCAGCACTTTGTAGATCAAGAACCGTGCCCGTCTATGGATGATCTCTTCTGGGTCTTCCTTATCCACCTTGGAGTAAGCATATGATCTCCTCAGGATAGCCATTTTGTCTCCAGGGAAAGTTGCAAGAGAGAGCATAAAGCAAGGAGTTGTAAGAGACAGATGTGACTTAGGATTGAGGCAATATTTATAGAATGAACTCAGGCATCGTGGATGTCATATGCTGATGAAGCTGTACATGTGCACTAATATGGAAATGTGGTAGAAAAATAGTGAAGGAGAAAATTGGTTTTCTATTAGCTGGCCTTACATCAGTGTGAAAACTGACCCTGCCCAGGACCAGCATGCCACTAGAAAATCACAAGGGCTTTTCTCTTCCAACAGATTAAATATTTCTTTTTTCCAGGTTTCATAAATTTGGGTTTTCTTTAATACTAAATATAAATAAATACAGGACTGCTCCTTGACATGAAATATGTCGAAGGTTCTGACGTGAGCTAAGTATGTTTATATTTTATCATTAACAATTAGAATCCGATGAGGTAATCAACGAAATACAGAGAACAACTCTTCCTTGAGGGATTCAATTAGTTACACTGTATACCTATTTCCACCATCAACTTATATTTCCAGGCAGCAGAAGAACAGAGGAGAGTAAAATAAACCATTTGGTTGAATACCTGGTATAAGCTGGATCCCCAAAATTATAGAAAAAAATATACCATAAATATGTTATTAATGTTCGGTTTTGCTCTATGTTTATAACTTTTTTTTTCTTATTTCTTGTTCTACACTATAGCATACACTGAATTATACAAAGACGACTTATTTTGTTGGTTGGGCCGGAGATGGAGTGAGGAGAGGTATGGAGTCAAAGGGGCAAATAAAAAAATGACCAAATTCCAGCCGGTATGAAGCATCTTTGAAAAGGAAAAAATTAGTAATTAAAACAAATTAAGTGTCAAACAAGGTGAGGGGGCAAAGGCTACTGCCAAACGGCCAAACGGTTATACAATTGCTTTCTGCAAGTGTCAGCTCACCAATGATGGTTGCTAAAAACCATTTTGAGAAAGAATCATAGTTAAATTATGCATTAACAAAAAACCCCAAATTCTTTCTAAATTTCTTGATAAACCTTTATGCTAGTCTCTTTTGATCATAGTTGTATTTGATCAAGTCTCATCTCCATCAGCAATTTGAGGTTATACTAGGTTAATCTCATTCGAAGGATGATACCAAGAAAAGTAGAAAGAATAAAATGATTGGAACCCATGGTTCAAGTCAAAGTAGCAACAGAAACTTTGATCTCATTCCTCTATTTCCAATGCTTAATATCACAGCAATACATAAGTCTTCACATCTAACAAAATTTTGCCCAAAAATGAACTTTTTACACAGTTGTTCTAGGTCAAGAAACAAGTAGACATACAGCGATTAGGTGCCCATTTCCATGAAACATGATTTTTGTTGCTCCAAACAACACTCTGGGGACAGCAAAGTACATTAAAGCTAGCTAGTCATTTACAATAAGATCCTCACTCTGACAAAATCATTTCATTGTCCATCATAACCTAAATTGAGTTAACCTCCAACGTGCTTAACCCACAGATCCCTCAAGCTTCAAACTCATGAGTTGGTTCACCTCAGCACCAAACTCATCAGGAAGCTCATTGAAAACATCACGGCAAAACCCAGAAATCATAGCAGCCATGGCTTTCTCATAGTCAATTCCCCTCTGCTGAAAGTAAAATAACTGATCTTCACCGATTTTGGAAGTGCTAGCTTCATGTTCAACACGAGCTGAGGGATTCTTAACCTGTTAAATAGTAGCAATTCAATCATAAGCAACAAAATATAGCCCCTAGTTTCTTGATGCAACAAATAAGAGCAGTAAATCAGAGATAGTAATTCCACTGTAAGGAAGTAATTATGACAGTACAAACATCAAGGAGATTTGTGTCAAAACAAGAATGAGAATCAAGTTCTACCCCAACTAGAATTCCAGTATCTTATTCATGGGAGGTTGAATAAAGGAGCTCTTGTTGGTTATGAGAATAAACATGGTCAGGAAAAGCACACGCATGCATGCACCAAAATATTGATTCAAAAGCTTCAGTTCCACCACAGTGTATTACACGGTTAAACAGGAACAGCAATTAGGAAAGAGAGGGGAGCTGTCTACTTACCCAATTGATAATCATAAAGACATAGGCCAAAAAAAACTAATACAGACACAAATACTTAACACAATATAGGGGAAAAAAGGCCAAAACATAAACATATGTACCTGGATGTAAGGGTAGGTATTTGCAGCAGCATTATCACCAATTAGCATGGAATCGCATTGCGAGGAATTCCTAGCATTCTCTGCTTTTGATTGAACCTGAACAAGGCCCCTGTAACAGTTTCTTGAATTTCCAGCTGAAATACCCTTCGAGATAATCCTACTTCTTGTATTCTTCCCCTTGTGTATCATCTTTGTTCCCGTGTCTGCCTGCTGATAATTATTCGTAAGTGCTACTGAGTAGAACTCACCCACAGTATCATCACCATCCAAAACAACACTTGGGTACTTCCAAGTAATTGCAGACCCTGTCTCCACTTGGGTCCATGATATCTTCGAGTGATCTCCAGCACAAAGTCCACGCTTAGTAACAAAATTATAAATCCCACCTTTTCCTTCCTCATCACCAGCATACCAATTCTGCACGGTGGAGTATTTAATCTCTGCACCCTTAGCACAGTACAACTCCACAACAGCAGCATGAAGCTGATTCCTATCATAAGAAGGTGCTGTACATCCTTCTAAATACTCCACAAAACTCCCTTCATCAGCAACAATCAAAGTCCTCTCAAACTGCCCAGTTTCCAATGCATTAATCCGAAAGTAAGTTGAAATTGGCATTGGGCATTTTGTATCCTTAGGTATATAACAAAATGACCCATCACTAAAAACAGCTGAATTCAAAGCAGCATAATAGTTATCCTCACTAGGCACAACTCTCCCCAAATATTTCCTAACTAAATCAGGGTACTCCCTAATTGCCTCGGATATCGAACAAAAAATCACCCCAGCCTTCTCCAAAGTCTTCCTATGTGTAGTAGCAATTGAAACACTATCAAGAACCGCATCAACCGCGACATTAGCCAATCGATTACGTTCATTCAAAGGGACACCCAATCTGTCAAAGTACTTAAGCAGTTCAGGGTCAGCCTCGTCTAAGCTATTCAAAGCAGGCTTCTTTTTGGGTGCAGAGTAATAACAAATATCTTGGAAATTAATGGGTGGGTATCGATTATCAGACCATTTAGGTTCATTCATTTTCAAAAATTTCTCATAAGCATGCAATCTGAACTCCAACATCCAAGCAGGTTCTTCCTTCAAAGAAGAAATTAAACGAATTGTTTCTTTAGAAAGCCCTTTGGGTATCGAAAACGAATCAATATCCATAGTAAAGCCAAAATTTTTTATTATAATCACGGTTTCGAAGAATTTCCTGGATTTTCTCATCATAGGATTTACCTGATGAAGAGCTGGGATCTGACGTCAAGGTCTGTGAATCAAAACCCACATCTGCTCTGACCTTGAAAAGCCTTGAATTTGGGGGCTTTGGGGTTATTGGTTTGACGGAGTCGAGCTTCAGATAAAACCCTTTAGCGAACTTGGTTGAATCTGAGGTGGGTTGTAGCGAGAAGCTTGAGATGCCGTTGGCTAGCAAGGAAGCCATGGTTATGGCTGTGCTTTCAGGATAGAGAAAGAAATAGTGCACAGAATGTCAAAACTAAATAAGTGAATGAGTTTATTAATTATTGTTGAATTGTGATTTTTCTTGGCTATGAGATTGTTAGAGAGTCTCGTGGACAACACGTACCCTCGTCGCCGGGGGGACCGCTTATGACCCACTTTGAGATTGGTCTGGCTTCTGGATCTTTCTAACCGCCGCAAATTCTGGGTTCGAGTCCCACCGGCACCGGGCGTGAAAAGAAAGCTTTTAGGCCCATGTTCTTCGCTACTCCTTGATGCTTTAGGCGAATCCAAGCCCACCGACAAAATATTTCACGTTTCAGTTTACGGAGGCCCAATAAACGGGCAGCTCTTAGCGCCAGTTCCTGGTTTCCTTGCGCTTCGGTTATAATATTATCCCGCGAACCAAACAGCTAGCTCCGAAGAAATCCGGAAAAGAAATATAAACAGAAACACAAAGAAAATTATTATTATTATTATAACTAATAATAAATCAGCAAATTTTGGATTTGTTTATTGATTATCTCAGCACCCATTTTTCACTCAGGTGATTCCGAATCTCTCCTACAACGCAGGTACGATAGTTTCTTTTTTCCTTCTTCCACCTTAAAAACTGTAGTTTCAGTTTTATGTTGTCATTGCGTTACAAGTTTGGTTTCAATAGTAAAAAGGTTTTTAATGGGAAAAAAGTGGAATAAACCACAACTGATGAGTGAGTTTCTTTCTTTTATTTATTGATGGAAATGAGTGAGAGATTTTATTTGGGATTGTGGGTTAGTTCAAGACTTACCTGAGATTCATTTGCCTCTTTGGATTGGTGAAAATTATGGTGTTTCTTTCGTTTGTACCCATTACCCATGAGATATTTGAAACGTGTCAAAAGGGTGTTCATGTTTTCAATCTTGCATGATTTGGGGGTCATGATTAAGGGCTCAAGTTTTCTTTACATCCGAGGTGTATTTTGATCCAAGATCAATGTACTTCTGTTGGAACATGGAAGGTTGCCCTCTTCGAATGTATAGGTTGCCCCGCATTCTTTTATAGAATGGATTTGGGCTTTGTGTTTGTTCTGCACAGATATTGGAGTGGTCTTCTTCATCCTTGGTTAATATTGGTGACTTTCCCCTTGTTCATTTTCTTGGAGATCTTCTGGTGTATCGAGTACCATGCCTTGTTGGAAATGATTTTTGTTTGAGAAAATTGTTGTTCTCTCAAGTCTCAATGTCCTTAATAATGGAGACTTGGGGCAAAGAAATCATAGTTCAAAATGAGGATTGCTTAGCGTTTCAATGGCAGGGAAGGCCCCAGCCAGTGCAGTGTGGTAGGCAAAGTGCAAAAGATAGAGGATCAAGCAAAACCTATGACTTCAACTTTGGCCCTTGATCATGACATAAAATCTGTGTCAGAATTTCTTGGTCCTGGTTACACATCCGGACATCCTTTATTGATCATGTCTATATTATCCTTTACCCCAAAAGTAAAAAGTCAGTTATTCTCATAAAGCTCGCTAGAAGGTCTGACAATATTTTGATATCTAGCAGCAATGCATCGTGAATGTATATGCTCTGCTTATTCTAAAATGAATTGTATGTAGAAAGAGAAACTAAGAAGCACGTAGTTTTTGCCACTGTATTGATTAAAATCT